TCTTTTCCCTTCGTACCTAAGTCATTGGTACTGAAATGGATCATTATGTCTGGGTGTTCAGCCATGCACCCAAAAATACGCTGTAATAATTCTATGAGATCCTTGACCCCAGCACAGAGAGGTAACAAACCATACTGGAATCACGTTCATAGGCACATCTATTCCCTAACCAGAAGATTTCCCTATCACTCTTTTTCCTCCCCCTTGCACAGCTGGGTAACTGATGATGCTACACCTTGATTATGACTGCACTCCTCTCGGGAATAATCGTCCTTGCCAGAATCCGAAGGAGAAAAGCAATTTGCTAGCAAGGTTGTCTCAGGGGTATCCTGCACTGCCTTGATTCTCTTGAACTGCCTGGTGGTCACCGTTACTTATCTGCCTGCACAACCCTATGTTACCACCTTCCTAAACGTGCCATCCATATAGTCACTGTCTCCAATTGTTGCTTGATTTCCGAATAAATTGTAAATGGTGACACATCCTGCATAAGTTCATCTCAGACCCACAATGGGTGCATGACTTTGTGCATTTCATTCAGCGGAGCTGTCCCGCCATATTTTAACTATACCGACTACTTATTACAGGTAGAATATCTTACCCAGTTACTTAACAACGTCTCATTTTTTTGCACCAATTTAAGAGCCAAGTCCTGGATTGTGAAGAAAGTAAATTTGAATAACTACTTCACCTAACTGATCATTAACCAAACTCTCAGCTACTCTCCATTACAGATTGTTTACCCTATCTAAGGCTAGAAGAAAGTTACTTTACTTTCTAACCTTGCTTTAATGATTAGCCCAGTAAAATCCATTTAAATGCTATCTACAGACCATGCTTAATAACTCCTCGCTCGCAAACTCCATAATTTGAAAGCTCCACAGACAATTTCAAGTAAAATGTGCGATTCTGAGGAAGGTACAGGAGAAGTGAGATCTGGGTGTATATGTGCAGAAGTCATTGAAGGTGTTGGGGCAGGTTGAGTGATTAATAAACAAAGTTTTCTAGGCGTGTTGAATCTGTATGAGACACTAGTTATGCCTCGTCTGGAATATTGAGGGGAGGCAATGGCCTAGTGTAATTATCACTGGGCTGTTAATCAAAAGGCCAGTAATGTTCTGGGGTCCTGGTTTCAAATCCTGCTATGGTATGTGGCAGAGTCCAATGATGACTGTGAATCTATTGGTGATTGTAAACCAGATGGGTTTTTCCAACAATGCCCTTTAGGGAAGGAAACTGCCATTCTTACCTGGTCTGATCTACAAGTGACTCCAATGTGTTTGACTCTCAGCTGCCCTCTGGGCAATTCGGGATGGGTGATAAATGCTAGCACAGCCAGTAAATGTCCACATCCTGTGAATGAATTAAAAGAAAAGCCTAGTGCTGGTCACCACCCTTTTAGGAAGCAAATGAAGATATTTGACAGAGGCAGAAAAGATTGAAAGTGATTTCATGGTTGAGGCGCTTCAATAGTGAAGATTGATGAGAGAAATTAGGACTGTGTTTTCCTTGGAGCAGAAAAGGCAGAGGAGGTTTGATGTAGGTATTCAGAACCACAAAGTGTCTGGGCAAAGTAAATAGGAAAGGTTGTTCCTGTTTGTGAAAGAGCTGTGACCATATGCATTACTTCAGCAGCGGTCTAATTGAGCTTATCATAATAATTATCGAAGCAGGCAGATAATGTATTCTGTTGGAGAGTGCGGGACGCCATGCCAGGAACACCACCAGGATTATCTAAAAGTGAAATGTCAACGTAATGAAACAACAACACAGGACTACATGCGTACCAAACAATAGAAGCAGTATTGTAATAGACCGGACTGAGTGGTCTTATGACCAACTGATCACATCTGAGCTCTGCAGTCCTGCTACATCCGGTGGTAGTGCGCTGCATACAGGGAGGCAATGGATGAGAGGTATTATCGCTGGACTGTTAATCCAGAGACCCAGATAATGTTCTGGGGACCTGGGTTCGAATCCCGCCACAGCAGATGGTGGAATTTGAATTCAATAAATATCTGGAATTAACAGTCTAATGATGGTGAATCCACTGTTGAATGTCGGAGAAACACATCTGGTTCACTAATGCCCTTTAGGAAGGAAACTGCCATCCTTACCTGGTCTGGCCTACATGTGACTCCAGACCCACAGCAATGTGGTTGACTCTTAACTGCCTTCTGGGTAATTAGGGATGGGCCAAAAGGACCCCCCGCTCTGGGTTCAGCAATGATGACACCAATGAGCAAACAGACTGCAGTTGCTGCCACGCCTCTGACAGCGCCAGGAGTCTCCACTGTGGGCACTGCCACCGTCAAGAGTCCATGCTCTGGGCCTACTACAGCCAGGAATGTCCATTCCAGGCACTGCCACCACTACAAGTCCAGTCTCTGGGCCTACTGTGACGAATAGTCCCTGCTCCAGCTAGTGCCACGAGTCCAGGCTCCCTGCCTGCCACAGCCAGTAGTCCCTGTGCCAGGCATTGCCACTGCCGCCTGGAGTCCTGATCCATGCTACTGATGCTGTAGCCGTCACCCTGCCGACACCACTCCAGCCTTGAAGGTGAAGAAAGTTTTCAAAAAAAAAATAAAAAAGGACAAAAAGGGGAGAAAGAGAGAAGGATTTTGTTTTATTTCAAAAATATGCTTCATTCACTGTCTATGTGGACTTCAGTAAGGCATTCGACAAGATTCCGCATGGTAGACTGATTAGTAAGGCTAGATCTAATGGAATCCAGGGAGAGCTAGCCATTTGGATAGAAAATCGGCTTGAAGGCAGGAGACAGAGGGTGCTGGTAGACGGTAGTTTTCCAAACTGGAGGCCTGTGGCCAGCAGTGTGCTGCAAGGATCAGTGCTGGGTCCACTGCTTTTTGTCATTTATATAAATGATTTGGTTGTGAACATATGGTTAGTAAGTTTGCAGACAACACCAAAATTGGTGGTGTAGTGGACAGTGAAGAAAGTTGTCTCAGAGTACAATGGGGACAACACTGTGGAGCTGGAGGAACACAGCAGGTCAGGCAGCATCAAAGGAGTAGGAAAGTCAATGTTGCGGGTTGGGACCCTTCCTCAGAACTGGCAGTTCCACACTGTTGTCTCTGACTCCAGCATCTGCAGTTCTTGCTGTGTCAGAGTACAATGTGACCTTGATCAGATGGGCCAATGAGTAGAGGAGTGACAGATGGAGCTTAAATTAGATAAATGTGAGGTATTGCATTTTGGTCAGGTAAAAAAGAACAGGACATATACAGTTAATGGTAGGACTCTAGGAAGTGTCGCTGAACAGAGGGACTTAGGGTTTCATGTTCTTAGTTCCTTGAAAGTGGAGTTACAGGTAGAGAAGATGGGGAAGAAGGTGTTTGGTACGCTTGCCTTTATTGGTCGGTGCAGAGTATAGGAGTTGGGAGGTCACGTTGCAGCTGTGCAGGACATTGGTGAGGCCACTTTTGGAATACAGTGTTCAATTCTGGTCTCCCTGCTCTAGGAAAGATGTTGTTAAATTTGAAAGGGTCCTGAAAAGATTTATAAGGATGTTGCCGGGGTTGCAGGGTATGAGCTATAGGGAGAGGCTGAATAGGCTGGGACTATTTACCCTGGAGCGTCGGAGGCTGAGAGGTGACCTTTATAGAGGTTTATAAAATCATGAGGGGCATGGATAGGGTAAATAACCAAGGTCTTCTTTCCAGGGTAGGGGAGTCCAAAACTAGAGGGCATAGGTTTAGGGTCACAGGGGAGTAATTTAAAAGAGACACCTGAGGGGCAACTTTTTCATGCAGCAGGTGGTGCGTGTGTGGAACAAGCTGCCAGAGGAAGTGGAGGAGGTGGGTACTACAACAACAACAACATTTAAAAGGCATCTGGATGGGTGCATGAATAGGAAAGGTTTAGAGGGATGTGGGCCAAATGCTGGCAAATGGGCATGGATTGATTTAGATTAACTAGATTAATTAATCTGGTTGGCATGAATGAGTTGGGTTGAAGGGTCTGTTTCTGTGTTATTTAACCCTATGACTCTAGGTCCTGATTAAACCCACCTGAACAAATGGGCACTTTGCTGCCCCACCCTCTCCAACCACTGTGCTTCCCTTCCCAGAAATGAGAGATGTTGCCCACTGCTGTACCTTGTCACCATCTCACCCATGTTCCAGGGACATGGGAACAGCCAGGCCTGGTGTCGCAGCCCAGGCGAGAGCAGCACAGTGACTGGAGAGGGCTGGGAGGCAGGCAAATGTTGCAGCTGAGGGTATAGTGCCAGGGAGGTGAAGCAGTATCTTCAGACCAGCCCAGGTATATGTACCCATAAGGGCAGACTCTTCTGCAGCCAGTTATAGCCCCAGCATATATGCAGAATTGGGCTATTTTGCATTCTGGACAATTGTTTCAATTTTAACCTGTGAGCTTGTTCTGTATGTTGACCAGAACATGTATTTATATAGCATCTTTGATGCTAGTCAATTAATACAGAGACCAAAGTGATGTTCTGGGCACAGGGTTTGAATATCACCATGGAAGATGGTGGAACATGAATTCAATAAAAATCTAGAATTAAGGGTCTGTTGATGACCACACAAACCATTCTCAATTGTCAGAAAATCCTATGTGATCTGCTTAATGGCCTTTAGGGACAGAAATCTTCTGTCCTTTCCTGGTCTGACCCAGATGTATTTCCAAATCCCCTCTTCACTGGTTCCAGGGCAATTGAGAATGGGCAGTAAATGCTAGGAACAGCCGCATCCCGTGAATCGAAAAAAATAGTTTAATATATGTTAACAAGCCACTGGAACTAACGTTTGAGGAAGCAGAGAGGTTGAGTGGTTTAGAGAGGAAATTTCAGAGTTCAGGTAACTGAAGGCACAGCCACCAATGATGGAGCAATTAAAACGGAGAATGTGCAAAGGGCCAAGGTTGGAGAAAGTAAAGATTTGGTGGGGGTGGGGAGTGTACAGTTGGAGGCAATTACTGAAATAAGTCATGCTAAGTTCGTGGGGGGATTTGAACTCGATATGAATTTTACAATCAAAGCTATTGTGGACTGGAAACTGATGCAACCCAGTGAGCCTGGGGTGAAAGGTGAAGGGGAGCCAATAGATTTTATGTTCACAACAGGTGGTAGAAGCTCAGAGAGGAAGGTTTAAGCCAGAAAATAGATCCCTGGGTTCACAGTTGCTCAGAAATGATGATATGCAGTTAGAGGAACAGCCAAACCCAATTAATAGTGAAAGCTATCATGACAACATTAGTGTCGCAACAGAGATTTGTTTGACATCAATTTAGCAACCAGAAGCTGCAGTCTGGCTCCAGCCTGAGCCCCACATACATGTATAATTAAAAGAAAAGAGATTGCCCTGTGGGCTTCAGAGTCTAGAAAAGGATGAGTCAGTGATGAGGGGGAAGGGGCCAGATGAGCTAAAAGTAAAACAAAAGATATTACTGTCCTTCAAATACCAGACAAATCATTGCAAAATAAATAAATAACGCACCCAGTCTGTGGGCGTGAAGATAAGATTCAGGATGAACACATATGTGAATATCCTGTGCGTATGTAAACAGAGACATGCTTGTGTTTTGGGGCCTTGGGGGTGAGTGGGGTAGGTGAAGAACTGGTAGCTCAGCCTTAAATGTAAAATGGGCCTTACTTCACTGATGTCAAAATTCCTGCAAACTGTAAAAATGCCATAAATTCCTGACTCACTCAGTTCCAATCACTCCTCTTCTGGAAGCATAATATACCAACCAGCACCGACATGAATGACTGCCCATTTTGCCTATAAAATGATTAATCTCTCCGAATGACTCATACACTGTACTAGAGCTACAGGGGTTACTGGAAAGCTTTCATCCATTGTTAGCCATATGGTTGAAGAATCCCTGGGTGGGAGTGGGAACAGAAACACAAAGCAAAAACAAGATGAACTATGCACACTATTTCCTCATTTAAGAAGCATCAATGGGAGTGTTTCCATTCTCCAAACATCAGATACAGTGACTCACTATCTCCAGTAACACAGGAAGCACAGTCTGCTGTTTCCCCCCTCCCCATATTGACCAAACCTGAATAATTCAATTGATGTGACTCTGGCTTCCAGCACCTGCAGTCCCTACTGTCTCCAAACTTGAATGACTTCTTGTCTAGTGACAAATCAATCTCAAACGAACAGTACTCTATTCTGTCTCAGTTTCCTGAGAAGTGGGATGGATGGTAGGGCAAAGATCTCTCCCTTGGACGGTTCCCATTGCAGGGCTGGAAAACCTGTCACTCAGTGATGTCTCATTTCTGTCAATGGGCAGACGCTTGGAGCAAGGGAAATAATTTTAAAAGAGAAAGCTAGACTCTGCTGACTGAAATGAAGAACGTACCAGGAGATATAAACAAAATGTTTGTCATGGTCAGAATTTAAGGGTCAATGGTATAGGTTCTCGTTATCAGTTAGTGAATTGGTAACAAGGAGCAATAAACGTTGAAATTAAAAGCAGACAAGAAGGTTGCAAAGGAACTCAGATATTAAGGTTGTTGGGATGCATATTACTGGCTCCTTGGACAGGTAAGATAGTGGTGAAGGTGCTAAAGACCCAAGCACAAAGCCAGAAATTGAAGTTAACTACCTATAAACGTGAAAGTAAAAAACTAATTGAAAAGAAGTGAAATGCAATGAAGAGGAGATCTGGAAATTAAAAACATAAATCCCACAGTGATCAGATTATGAAGATTGCGAACAAATACTAGGGTTCATTTCTACAAAAAAAAGTATAATTCCTTTTACTCATTCATAGGATGTGGATGTTGCTAGCTGGGCCAACATTTATTGTTCATCCCTAATTGTCTTAGAGGAGGTGATGCTGAGCCACTGCACTCCCTGTAGTGTAGGGGCATCATAGAGATGTACAGCATGGAAACAGACCCCTTGTCCAACTCATCCATGCCGTCCAGATTTCCTAGATAAATCTGGTCCCATTTGCCAGCATTTGGACTATATCCCTTTAAACCTTTCCTATTCATATACGCATCCAGATGCCTTTTAAACGTTGTAATTGTACCAACCTCCATGGCTTCCTCTGGCAGCTCATTCCATACATGCACCACCCTCTGCATGAAAAAGTTGGCCCTCAGGTCCCTTTTAAATAAACCGGGACCGCATGGTGGCTCAGTGGTTAGCGCTGCGCCAGGGACCTGGGTTCGATTCCACCCTCGGGCGAAACAGACCTTGCCCCTATCCATACCCTTCATGATTTTATTAACTTCTAAGGTCACCTCTCAGTCTTCGACGCTTCAGGGAAAATAGTCCCAGCCTATTTCAGCCTCTCCCTATAGCTCAAACCCTCCAACCCCGGCAACATTCTTGTAAATCTTTTCTGCACCCTTCAAAGTTTCACAACATCCTTCCTATAGCAGAGACCAGAATTGCACGCAATATCCAAAAGTGGCCTGACCAATGTCCTGTACAGCCGTAACATGATCTCCCAATTCCTGTACTCAATGCACTGACCAATAAAGGCAAGCATACCAAATGCCACCTTCACTATCCTATCTACCTGTGACTTCACTTTCAAGGAACTATGAACCTGCACCCCAAGGTCTCTTTGTTTAGCAACACTCCCCAGGATCTTACCATTAAGTGTATAAGTCCTGCCCTGGTTTGCCTTTCCAAAACGCTGCACCTCACATTTATCTAAATTAAACTCCATCTGCCACTCCTTGGCCCATGGCCCATCTGATCAAGGTCCCGTTGTACTTTGAGATAACTTTCTTCTCTGTTGACTATACCTCTAATAAACAGTGCTCTCGGGGAAGGAATTCCAGGATTTTAACCCAGTGACACTAAAGAAACAGCGATGTAATTCCTAGTCAGATGGTACCTGGCTTAGAGGGGAGCTTTCAGGTGGAGGTGTTCTTGCCTATCTGCTATCCCTACACTTAAGGTGATAGACGCCAAGAATATGGAAGGCGCTGTAATCTCAGTTTCAGATTGACACCAGTTTTGCTTAGGCCGTCAGTTCCACACTTGGTCTAAAGCTGCCTTGATTTCAAGGGCGGCCTCTGGAGTTCAGCTGTTTTACTAATGTTTGAACCAAGGCTTTAATGAGGTTGGGAGCTGGGTCCTGAACAAGTGCTGCTCGATAGTACTATTTATGACACTTTCCATCACTTCAAAGAAGAATAGACTGACATGGCAGCATTTGGCTGGTTTCAACTTGACCTGCTTTTTCTGTGCAACGAGACGTACTGGACAAGTTTCCAGATTGTCATCTACCTCACAATGTTGTGGTGTACTGGGAATAGCTTTGTGACAGTGCTTCATGTTCTCGAGCACAAGTTTTCCATACAGTTGGTGGAACAATAAATGTGGGAGCAAGGCCACCTGTGATTGGAGGAGCAGTGAACAGCTGGCTGTGAGCGAGGGAGTTGCTGGAAAAGTGAATGTCAGGAGAATGGAGGTAAATGCATGAGATGGGGAGGTTGCAAGGGGTTTGGGGATGGTGATCAGTGGGGAAGGAGACTGGAAGGCTGCAACAAGATGGTAGGGGAGACAGGCTGCAAGGGGAATGGGAGAAACAGGGAGAACTGTAAGGCTGGGGGAGACTGCAAAATAGAGTGAATATTTTTAAACCTGTCAACAAAGGAACGTTTAACTGACTGGGAGTCAGGAGGACTTAAAATATCTGAGCTGATGAATTACTTGTCACTGAATTTTTTTAGAAGTTTTTTATTCATTCACGGGATGAGGGTATTGCTGGCCAGGCCAGCATTTATTGCCCATCTCTAATTATCCAGAGGGCAGTTCAGAGTCAACCACATTGCTGTGGGTCTGGAGTCACATGTAAGGATAGCAGTTTCCTTCCCTAAAGGATGTTAGTGAACCAGATGGGTTATTCCCAACAGTTGATTCACGGTCATCATTAAGTTCTTAATTCCAGATATTTTATTGAATTCAAATTCCACCATCTGCCGTGGCAGGATTTGAACCTGGGTCCCCAGAATTTAATCTGGGTCTCTGGATTAACAGTCCAGTGATAATATCATTAGGCCATCACCTCCCCATGCAAGATCTCCAGCTTAAGGCTTTGTATCTTGAAAAATAGAAATGAGGAGCAGGAGTAGGCCATTGGGTCCTTTGAACCTGATTCACCATTCGATATGATCATGGTTGCTTCTCTATCTCAATGCCACATTTGTGCTTTCTCCTCATACCCCTTGATGCCTTTAAAATTTAAAACAAAATTATCTGTCTCTCCCTTGAATATATCCACTGGCCTCCACAGCCTTTTGTGGTTCCACACGTTCTCTACCCTTTGAGTAAAGAAAACTTACCTCATTTCTGTCATAAATGGTCCTGAGTCTGTCCCCTGTCTGATTTTATACTCCCCAAACAAGGAAACCATCCTCCTTGTTTCTAATCTGTGCAGACCTGTTAGAACTTTATGCATTTCAAATAGTTTAGGAGCTGCTGTACAGGGAACAATGTCATGGATGCTACTGTAACGATGACTATCAATTGTTAAAATTAAATGTGAGATTGAGTTCTCAGATGTAGGAAAAAGATAATAACTGCCTGCTCAAAATGCTCCAGTTTTGTGACTCACTCAGAGATAGTAAGAACTGCAGATGCTGGATCAGAGGTAACACGGTATGGAGCTGGAGGAACACAGCAGGCACTATTTCTGAGTGAGTTATAACCCCACTGCGAAGCCTGTTCTATGAATGCCCACCTTGAAGAAGTTGTCTTCCTCCCTCTGGAAAGACTTCAGTGGATCTCTCTCCCACTGCAACCCTCTGGTAATCTCTTTGGCCCTGAAATTCGCCTCCTTGAGCTGACACAAACTGTCCATCTTCTCTCCCACCTATCTGCTCCTCCCATCTCATTGACCAATCCCACCACTCCCTACCTGCACTCGCCTATCACCATCCCATCTACCTTCCCCAGCCCCCCTCCCTCTATTTACTTCTGAGCTCCCTCCCCCCCTCCCCCATTTCTGAAGAAGGGTCCTGACCTGAATCATCAACTTTCCTGCTCCTTTGATGCTGCCTGACCTGCTGTGCTCCTCCAGCTCCATACTGTGTTATCCCAGTTTTGTGACATATTTCCATCCCTAATTGCTCTTAAATTCAGTGAACTCATGCTATTGAAACACATTGGCTGTGACCTCACCGATCTGAAACGTGTCTTTGGGTTTGTGGTAGAAGTGTGTGTCAGTTTTTCTTTGGGACAAGCTTTGTTGCTAATTTATGGCTTTGTTTTATACCAATTTAAATATTCTGGAAATAAATGATTCCGTTGTGTGTGTGGCTTTAATTGAGGGGTGATAATTATCGAAGGTATTGATGAATTTTTCTAATTCTGTGTTAAAATTCGCCATATGCCAACACAAATACAGCATGTAGTACAGGTAACTGTATCACCTCATAACTGAGTTAGACCGAATGACAAAGCAGCTGTTGAAAGCAAAATGTAATCCCTGAAATTTTAAAACTAGACTTTTTAAAATCTTGAACTTGCAAATAAAAATGATTTTGTGCCTTAATTACTGCTTTGCCTTATTAAATAAATTTCTTAAAAAATGTGATATTTGTATTGAATGCTGGGGAGCAGGATGTCAGTCTGAAAAATAACCATTCATTGCTATCCCTCCTTTGAACAATTCTGCATTCTTGTAACTTGTAGTTCCATTTGAATCACTTTTGTTGAATGTATTCCTGTGGAGCACCTTGAGATGTGTCAATATTTTAAAGACTAAAAACATACAGGCTATGATGTTGTTTACATAGAAGCAAAGAAAATGGCAGGAATAGGCCGTTTGGCCCCTCGAGTCTGCTCCATCATTAGAACCATAGAAATCACACAGCACAGAAGGGGGTTATGTGGTCCATCTTGTCTGTGCCAACCCCAGATGCCCTTTCTAATCGTTCGTTGTGCATGATTATCCAATTTAGTACTATGTTCTCACTTTCTCCTCATATCCTTTTGATTGTTTTAAACCTAAGAACTATACCAACATCTTTCCTGAAAGTCTTCATTGTTTTGGCCTCAATAGTTCCCTGGGGCTGAGAATTCCATAGGCTCACCACTCTCTGGGTGAAGAAATTTCTCGTCATCTCTGTCCTGAAGACCTACCCCTTATCTTTATTCTGTAACCCTGGTTCTGGACTCCCTGGTCATTGAGAAAATCCTTCCTCAGATAAGATCAAAACTGTACACAATACACCACTGTGGTCTTTCCAGGGCCCTGTACAGTTGCAGCAAGACATCCCTGCTCCTGTACTTCAGTCCTCTCTCTGTGAAGGCCAGCATGCCCGTTGCCTGCTTCACTGCCTGCGCACCTCCATGCTCACTTTCAGCGACTAGTATACAAAGATACCCAGGTCCTGTTACACCTCCCTCTTTCCCAGTCTATCACCATTCAGATAATCTGCCTTCCTGTTTTCACTGCCAAAGTGGATAACCTCACATTTGTTCGCACTTTACTGCATTTGTCATGTATTTGCCCACTTAGCTTATCTGAATCACACTGAAGTATCTCTGCATCCTCCTCACAGCTTACCCTCCCACCAAGTTTTTGTGTCGTCTGCAAACTTGGAGCTATGGCACATAGTTTTCTCATCTGAATTATGAATATATATATTGTGAAAGCTGGAGTCCAAGCACTGATCCGTGCAGTACCCCATTAGTCACCGCCTGCTTCGTGGAAAAAAGACCTATTTATTCCTGTTCTTTGTTTCTAGTTTGCCGGCCAGCTCTCAATTCATTTTCGTGCTCGCCCACCACTCCCACATGCTTAAATGCTAATTTTATATGCTAATCTCTCTTCAGTCGCACTTTATCGAAAGCCTTCTGAAAATCCAAGTCAGCCACATCCACTGGCTCCCCGTAATAATCCACTCTGTTGTTTGTATCCTCAAAGCTTTTCAGATTTGTCAAACATGAGGATTATAAGAGATAGGATTTATAATCATCTAGAAAGGAATAATTTGATTAGGGATAGTCAACACGGTTTTGTGAAGGGTAGGTCGTGCCTCACAAACCTTATTGAGTTCTTCGAGAAGGTGACCAAACAGGTGGATGAGGGTAAAGCGGTTGATGTGGTATATTTGGATTTCTGTAAAGCGTTTGATAAGGTTCCCCATGGTAGGCTATTGCAGAAAATACGGAGGCATGGGATTGAGGGTGATTTAGCGGTTTGGATCAGAAATTGGCTAGCTGTAAGAAGACAGAGGGTGGTGGTTGATGGGAAATGTTCATCCTGGAGTTCAGTTACTAGTGGTGTACCTCAAGGATCTGTTTTTGGGCCACTGCTGTTTGTCATTTTTATAAATGACCTGGATGAGGACGTAGAAGGATGGGTTAGTAAATTTGCGGATGACACCAAAGTCGGTGGAGTTGTGGATAGTGCGGAAGGATGTTGCAGGTTACAGAGGGACATAGATAAGCTGTAGAGCTGGGCTGAGAGGTGGCAAATGGAGTTTAATGCGGAAAAGTGTGAGGTGATTCACTTCGGAAGGCGTAACAGGAATACAGAGTACTGGGCTAATGGTAAGATTCTTAGTAGTGTGGATGAGCAGAAAGATCTCTGTGTCCATGTGCATAGATCACTGAAAGTTGCCACCCAGGTTGATAGCGTTGTTAAGAAGGCGTACAGTATGTTAGGTTTTATTGGTAGAGGGATTGAGTTTCGGAGCCATGAGGTCATGTTGCAGCTGTACAAAACTCTGGTGCGGCCGCATTTGGAGTATTGCGTACTGTTCTGGTCACCGCATTATAGGAAGGATGTGGAAGCATTGGAAAGGGTGCAGAGGAGATTTACCAGGATGTTGCCTGGTATGGAGGGAAGGTCTTATGAGGAAAGGCTGAGGGTCTTGAGGCTGTTTTCGTTAGAGAGAAGAAGGTTAAGAGGTGACTTGATAGAGTCATACAAGGTGATCAGAGGATTAGATAGGGTGGACAGTGAGAGCCTTTTTCCTCGGATGGTGATGGCTAGCACGAGGGGACATAGCTTTAAATTGAGGGGTGATAGATATAGGACAGATGTCAGAGGTAGGTTCTTTACTGAGAGAGTAGTAAGGGCGTGGAATGCCCTGCCTGCAAAAATAATAGACTCGCCGACTTTAAGGGCATTTAAATGGTCATTGGATAAACATATGGATGATAATGGAATAGTGTAGGTTAGATGGGCTTCAGATTGGTTTCACAGGTCGGCGCAACATCGAGGGCCGAAGGGCCTGTACTGCGCTGTAATGTTCTATGTTCTATGTTCTATGTTCCCCTTCGTAAATCCATGCCTATTGTGCCTTATCCTGTCACTATTTTCCAAATGCTCTGCTTTTAAATCTTTTATAATGGACTAGCAGTTTTCCAAACACTGATGTTAAGCTAACAGATATATTGTTCACTGTTTTCTCTCTGCCAGGTACCTTTTATAAAACTCTATGTGCATAACTTCAGCTGTAGGCCCTCACCAGTCCCACCAATACTCCGAAGAACGCTGTTAGCCAACCAACATTCAGTGGGGTAATGAAGGGGGGTTGGGAGGAGGTTTGTGTGGACCAGAGACACTGGAATGGACCATTTGGGCTGAATGACCTGTTTCTATGTTGTAGACCCAGTGTATTGTGAGATGTGATATACAATTTAAGCATATGTGCTGTTTTGTTTATAATTGAATTCTGAGTATATCCAAGATGGATGACGTGAAAAAAAATTGTGGTTCTAAGCGCTGCTCCTTTCTTGAAGTATTTTCAGTGTTGGAGCTGATTTCCTTGAATTCTAGGAGCAGTAATTACTGTTTCATAAGCTGTTGCATTGTTTTGGAACTTCAGGGAAAAATAAATTTTAAAAAAAGCTCTTTAAAAATAAGGAAGAGAAACAATTACAACATTTAAAAGGTATCTGGATGGGTATATGAATAAGAAGGGTTTAGAGGGATATGGGCCAAATGCTGGCAAATGGGACTTGATTATTTAGGATATCTGGTTAGCATGGACAAGTTGGACCGAAGGGTCTTTCCATGCTGTATGACTGACTAAGTTCTATTTTGTGTTTGCTTTTACTTCTAAGGTCGGCGACAGATTCACCATCTGGGTAATCAGCTCCAGTTAAACCAGCACTGCCTTGATACTGCCTTTAACTTCTTCAAAATGGCAGTCAGCAAGCACCTGACCAGAGGTCGAAAAATGAGCCATGTGATTGCTGCCTGTCTTTATCTGGTCTGTCGAACAGAGGGGACTCCTCGTATCCTTTGGACTGCAAAAATTACATAAAATCTAAAACATTAATTAATGGAGATTTTAAAGTGTGTTAGACTTCAGTTTTGTTTTAAAAGTCCAGATAACCTGTTACCTTTTTTTCTGAAGGTTATCTGTATTTTGAATGTCTACAGTTACTGTAAGCCAGCTCTGTTCTTTGTGACAAATGCCTGGTTGATGAAGAGTAAAGCTTTCAGCACATGTAAGTGCATGGGTTCACCTCATCTTATTAGCTCTGGTGAACAACGTACGTGCTGGTCAGTTTCCATACCTATGATTAGTGTGTGAAACCCTGTCAGTGCACGTGAATATATTGAATTTGGAAATGTTTCAATTGCTACAACTCCAGGACAATGACTTTTTGCATGAGTGTAGGGCTGAGGGAGTAGTACCTCATCAGATAGACATGGGGTAAAGAAGAGACTGGACCAGAATCATGTATCTGCATCCCTTTGCAGGCTCTTTCAGTCCTCAATTTGGTTCCCCTCTTGTCTTTGCATCATCAGGAATTTGTGCATGTTTAAGAAAATGACACCTTCCCATAAAGGAGGCCCAGAATTCCAGCTTCTGAGTCATTGAGTCAGTTTTGCCCTTCCAAATGAAGAATGATGCACTCAACCCTTGGAAGTCCTAGATTTAGGTCATTCTGATGAGACAATATATTTCTCATAAAGAAAATATATCTTGATATCGGAGATAGTAGGAACTGCAGATGCTGGAGAATCCGAGACAACAAGGTGCAGGGCTGGATGAACACAGCAGACCGAGCAGAAAGGCTGACGTTTCGGGCCTAGACCCTTCATCAGAAAAGGGGGAGGGGAAGGGGGTTCTGAAATAAATAGGGAGAGAGTGGGAGGCGGATAGAAGATGGATAGAGGAGAGGATAGGTGGAGATCAGCTTGACTTCGGGAGCCAAATTGTGGCATGCACATGGTGAGTTGGAATAGATTGTTTATAAAGATTAATTTGACCTCAGAGTGATCTTGCATTGTGAGTCATCGAGCCTTCATGTGGAGCAATAGGTAAATGTATTTGCTTCCCATCTCGATTCACAGAACTAAAACACTGCTGGAAATGAAGGGTCAAAGTTTTATGAAGTTAATATCCTCACTGCATTATCTAGCCCCTCCACAAATTTGACAGGCATGCTTTTAACAGGGAGTGCTTCCCTATCGAAGTTTCCATGCACCTACATGGTCTTTGTGGTGAATTCACAGATGCAGGTCACTACTCCACAAGTCTTACTAGTCACTGACTTTGTTCCCCCAGTGCAGATGCCAACATGATGTGATCATGCTGTATTGTGTTGATTTATGAAGCTGTTAAACGACTGAAGAATCAACTCTGATATTCTGGTAGGCAGCAACTGGACCAACAAACTTACCATCCCGTGTTGCAGCTTTTGTAAATATACCACATGTACAACAGAAGTTGGGCTTATCTTTCCACTCCTGAGGGTTCAACCTGAGTAAACTGTTAGCAAATAATCACCATGCTTACTAATTGAATTAGAATGTAATTGATTATGTCATTAATACAACATTTTGCTGTTGTTTGATACTGACACTAACTGAATTAATTATAGGACCTTCTTCCAAAAATAGTGTTCATCAACTGTGGCAGCAGATATGATATTAGTCCCTCTTCTGTGGTGTGAGGTTTTCCACCTCTTGAACTCCCTAAGTCCTTAGATATGAAGTTTCAAGTGACTAAATATTACCACCAGCAGCATCGAGTGCTAAAGTATCTTATCACTAGTGGCTGTGCTGGTGACTGCGTGAAAAAATTTGTTGTGCATGGTTTGTTTAAAGGTGTCTGTAAGGGAGAAATGGTTTTAAGCTGTTTAACTGCAGCTCATAGTAAGGTATTCACAAGATCCAGTCCAGATAAGAGCCTTTTCAGTGTACTTTTTGTCATGGTTAAAAGTTTTGGATATAGATCCTTTTGTGTTGCAAGCAGAGATTTGCAAGTTGAGTAAGTAGCCATCCAACTGCTAATGCCCTAGGGACTTGGGTCAAATCCCACGATGGTAGATGGTGACATTTTGAGTTCAATAAAATCTGAAATTTAATAAATCTGGTCTAATAGCAATCATGAAACCACTGTCGCTTGTCATAAAGTCCCACCTGATTCATTCATGGATTTGACCCTAAACTACCCTTCGAAATGCCACTCAGTTCGAGTGGCAGTTATAATCATATTGTTTAGATGAGGCACTTCTGCCCATCAAGTGTGTACTGTCAAAAGTATGCTGCAACCTACACTGGTCCCACTTTTTTGCACAAGGTCCATAGCCTTCAATGTTATGAGACTTAAAGTTCTCATCCAAATACTTCTTAAAAGTTGAGGTTTCCTGGCTCAACTACCTTACATTCCACACCCCTACCACGCTCTGAGTGAAAAATAGTTTACTGAAATCCCCTCTAAACCACTTGCCTTTCACTTCTTCATCATCCTGTCCATTCCCCAAAATTAGATACAGCACTGCACTGTCCCTGTAGGGCCATCTGCATGTTGATGTGAAAAGTTCTCCTGTATAGATTTCAAGAAATCTATCTGTCTAAAGCAATGATTATCCAATTAATATTGGGGTAGTTGAAATCCCCTAGTACGATTACCGTATATAATACCCCCTGTATAATTACTGTATTACACACTTCAATTAATCGTCTACATATCTGCTCCACAGTTGCCTGCTGATTGTTTGTGCCCCCAATAATACATTCCTAACAGTGTGACTGTCCCCTTTTTATTTCTAAGTTCTATCCGCAAAGCCTCTTTTGATGACCATTACATGATATCCATCCTCCATTTGGGGTGGACAACAAACCTTGCCAGCATCATATCCCATGCTAGAATAACAATGGCCGTTTGAGACGGACATGCAAAGAATCAGCGATGAAAAGTTGAGACATAACTGCCTTCATTCAGCTACCCACTCCCATTTTATTAAGTATAAATCTCTCAGCCAGAGAGATTTGAGCCCCTTTTGTTCAGCATTTCTGGTGTAAACTTGAACCCATCTGCACCTGAATCAGTGTAATGATAACTCAGCTAAGCTGACACATAAATCCCCTTGGGCGAGCTTCAGACATACCTGTATCAGAGAGATGAACAAAATTATTAAATCTCAAGTTATTGTTAATGTACTTATACCTAGTAGTCTCTGTTAAATTTTACAGAACACAAGAGCATCTTGGTCATTTAATGATGGAGGTCACAAAATGTTTCGCACCTTGCCTCTCAATGATTTTTAAAACATTTGCAGATTTAATACACTCATTGTCAAAGAACTGATGTACTGCCAAAGTACACGGAGCCATTGACACTAGATAATCAGAGACTACCCCATTCACCTTGCCTTGCTTAGAGGTTTATGTGGACATCTTGTTTCAGGTTAGTCATGTGTGTTTGGTAGGAACAATTACTTACCTTTACTGGGATTGTTTTGTACAGACTACTGCAGTTCAAATTGGCCCCTGTCAGAATTTCAAATGGAATTATTGGGTGAGTGTAATGGATTCTGCGCACTGCTGTTCATATCCTTTGAGTCACTTTTGTGCTACTCTGGTATCCTTGGGCAATGTGCCTTTAACTTTAAAGTCAGGCAGTCAAAGCCCCCACTGTCTTTGAGCAGCGTTTGAATCAAGGATTTTCCAAGTACCTTGCAGACTGTTGACATTGTGGTGTTTAGAATTGGAAGAACAGAAGATTGTCCTTATAAGATCCCAGCATAGGCTCTGATGCAAACTGGTGCTATTCCCTCTAATGAGAGAGGGGAGAAAACATGCTGGGGATTGACTTGTAGGCAATTGGAAAAACCTATGGGATGGAGACTGCTTATCTTGGAATAATTGAAAACTGTAGTCCTACAAAAGCTAAAGTTGTTCACATTTATCATAACATGCCCACACCAAATGTCCAATGGCACAATTTGTGTGAAGTGCAGGGGAGTTCTCTCCAGTGTGCTGGACAAGATTTATTTTGCATTAAACATTACTGATAAAACTATACAAGGCATCAATCAGACCACAGCTGGAATACTGTGAACAATTTTGAGCCCTAATCTAAGGAAAGATAGACTGGCATTGGAGACAGTCCAGAGAAGGTTCACAAGGCTGATACCAGGTAGGAGAAACTGTCTTATCAAGAAAGGTTGAGCAGATTGGGCTTGTACTCGTTAGTGTTAGAAGAATGAGATGTGATCTTATTGAAACATACAAGATTCTTAGGGGATTTGACAGATTTGTACATTGCAGAAGAGGCCCTTCAGCCCATCAAGCCTGTGTTGACAAAAATACACCACCATCTACACTAGTCCCACTTTCCTGCAGTAGGCCCTTGCCTTTAATGTTATGACATTTTAGGTGTCCACCCAAGTACTTTTTAAAGGTTGTGAGGTTTCCCATCTCAACTACCCTCGCAGGCAGAGCATTCCAGACCCATACACCACCCTCGTGATGAAAAAGCTTTTCCTACCTTTCACTTTAAAATTATGTCCCCTTGATACTGACCCTTCAAGTATCTATCAACCTCAAAGGTTCTTTCTCCTTGTGCATGTCAGAGATGGAGAGGAATTTGCTGTCTTGAGGGTAGTGATTCTGTGGAGTTCTTTACCACTGACGGCTGTTGAGGCTCAGTCATCACGATATTCAAGGCTGAAGTAGGCATTTTACTCACTAAAGGAATTCAGGGTTATTGGTAAAAGGCAGGAAAGTGGACTTGAAGGTTATCAGATCAGCCATGATCTCACATAGTGGCGGGGCAGACACAATAGGCTGAAAGACCTACCTTGCTCCTACATTTTATGATCTTGTGGACTTTTTTTGGTCAAAATTTCACTATCTGACGGATTTGCTATGTGTAAGTTTCTGACCATGTTTTCCTGCATTGCAACACTGACTGTAATCATGAACGGTGCTATGTAAATGCGGTGTTCCTCTTTATAAATAGAAACACAAAATATAAAACCTAAAGCTATTAATT